TGGTTAGATATTTTAACAGACAAGAAGCCGAGTATGGAAAAAGGGAAGAAGGAGAAGTGTACCTGGACTCCACCTTCCCCAAGGCTACATGGGATGATGACGGGACCGAGGCTGGGCTTCTCAGCGGCAACAGGTACCTGCACGCTAAATCCTCGCCCCGGCCGTCGCTGCGCGCTGTCATTGATCTTGTCCCCGTCCTCTTCCCCAACGGCGTGGGCCTCGTCCTTCACAAACCCTAGGATTGTGCCGATCCTGCGGAAGAATCCCATGGAGTCCACCGTTGTCCACAGAGAAGGCGAAGCGAGGACAGTCCAAAGAAAGAGCTTTCTTACCAGAAGTTCATTCGGTCGCCTCGTTTTGTTAACCTTCGATTTCAACTGTGAGATGGCTGTTCGGCTGCAAGTAGGATTTTACTCGAAGATTAGGAAATCCTGTAATTTCATATTTACTGAATTTTATGCGTTAAATTTGATCAATTAAAATAAAATTTTGTTAAATTATTTCAGAATTTAATTTTTTATATTTATTTTATTTATATAATTTTAACTAAATTCTAATAAATAATTGATAGCATATTAAGGTAATTAATTAACTTTTATTAATATTAATTAAATTATTGAGAATAAATTAATGAATACATAAAAATATTAAGATTAAAGTAATTACTTAACAAACGCACACACTTATATATATATATATATATATATATATATATATATATACGGCTTATCATATACCCATATCGGGAAGGCAAATACCACCCCATGAAAATCTAGTGATTTTTTATAGAGTCACTCTTGGGGCCCGTCGACCCCTACTAGCCAAAAATTAATAGGACTATACTAACATATGCATAATCACATGGTACAACTGTTGTTATAAATAATCAACAAGTTGTATGAAATTCAACATGAAAATTACAATTTCTATAACAAATATGATTTACAATATGAGAATCATATACTGAATTAAATAAATCTAATGTATATGAATTTAACCTTTGACAGCATAGACCATTTTAAATACTAAAATCTCGTGCATCAACAAATCAACATAATACTATTTCCATCACATGATGATTTCAATATGATCCATAAATATGTTTTTTGACATGACACAATAATAATAAATATTGAGAATAGAACCGGCAACATAAAATTCGTAAACCTATCACAACCAACAAGATTATAAGCCCTTAACAAAGAAGGGTATGTTTATCCTAAAATAAATAATAGTTACTTATAGTGTTCGCTACTAACTCCAGCCTCGAAAGTGCCTTGCTCATCTCCACAAAGCAACAATCCTATAAGTAGCAAAACAAAAATAAATTTAAGTACATTCATCGAGGCATAATGAAGAATATTTCAATCAACCTTAGTCATGCCATAAACATCAAAATTAATTATGAAATAATACAATCTAAACATATGTAAATAAGCTAGGGTTTGGTCAAATCGAACACCAACAAGCATAAAGCTTCTTCCTAAAGCAATCTAAACTAATAAAATAAAATAAAACTAAAATAAAATCTCCATTAAATTAAAAGTAATTAAATGAAGAAGGGAAACATGACTATACAACTTGATAAACATAAAAAGGAAAATAAAAGAGAGGGAGGAGTGAAAAGAAGATGAAGAAGCTTACTATTGAAGGAGAAAGAGAAGATTGTGAAGATGATGCTTAGTGATTTTGTCAATCAATCAAACAACAGCTGCAAGAGGAGGAGGAGGGCCTTTCGGTGGCTGCTATGAGGGAGAAAAGAGGAAACAAATGATGTCCTAGATTCTAATTCGCCTTAAATAGTGTGTGTGTGTGTGTGTGTGTGTGTGTGTGTGTGTGTGAGAGAGAGAGAGAGAGAGAGAGAGAGAGAGAGAGAGAGAGAGAGAGAGAGAATGAGGCGGGAGAATCTGTCAAATATGGGAAGAAATTATGAATTGGAGGGAGAAACATCGGGCAAGGGAGGTTCATTCACGATTCAAGCAAAGGAGAGCAGGAGGGTCGGCCGGCTTACGTGAGTGTGAGAAATCCCTGACCAAACCAATCCAGGTTGGGATATAACTTGAATGGGATCATTCTTTTCATTCTCCATGGGAACCTTCTCTGAGTGCCAACATGTTTCAAAGAGGATGAACTCCTTCAAATTTCCCATCTTTATAAGGTCTTCGATTATACCCTAAATATACCTACATGCCATGCCCATTATTGTTATAGAAGGTGCAATACTTATAGGTATCCCTTTAGTGAGCACTCACCTTTATGGGTGATGGGCACTTGTAGAACTCTTTACTTTGAATAGAGATCATGAGCTTGTTTGTAGATACACATAAGGAAGTGATGGTTGAATATTAGTGAGTAGAGTGAGTGCCTTCGTCCTTATATGGGATAGTGGGTTATGGTGCACCTCCACTCTCAAAGTGGGTAGTTTTTTGCTTCTAAGTGACACAACTAATAGGGGTGCTCGCTACTGACAAGCATGAAATTGGTCTTGTGGCATATAACCTCTTATCTACTATATGATTTCTTCGACAACACTTATCATACCAAGGAATTTGATGTTAATTGTGCCTAATGGTTCCTTCTTTGGGGTGATTGGTTGACGACATCCTTACCACATTATTATATTCTTTCATGTTAATGCAGCTATTAGCAAGCTCCAATGTTGTTCATAGTCAAGCTCTTAAGTATCCTTGAGTGTTTGCAAACTACATTATGAACATTCTATTAAATTCCAAATAATGAAGAGATCATACTTACTTGTAAGAAGAAATCTACCATAAGGAGAACTCCTAGAAAGTGATGAAAATAGCTAACACTTCAAGGCACCATCGATATCTATTAATGATGTCACCAACTCAAAGTATATTATATAGTCAATAGGGTATAACTTTCCTTGATAGGATTATACGCAAAGTATTTTGAATTTGATAGGAAACCTCACCTCTGTAATGTCCTGAGAAAACATGTTTGTCAACTTTAGGTCCCTCCTCATCACTTTCCTAAACAGAGAGTTATATCTTCATCACTGGTATGACTATGATGATAGTCAACATTTGGCGTAGATGTTAGTGCCCTTATCTCACATCTCATTCAATGAATTGCCAAGTTTGATGATCTTTTTGAAGTCCATTCCCTTAACTCATCCATCTAAACTCACTTTAAGGCATCTTAGGAACAGTTTAGTGATTATTTTCCTACATCTCCATCAAGTCATGGTAAGTAGCATAATTTGGTTCTCAATATTCACTGAAGACTCCTGGTTTTGTTGCTCTTCACATTATGCCTATATTTTAGTCACTCGCATCACTCCATGCTCTCAATACATTAGATGATGTTAATCAAACTTTATCCATGGATAAATTACAATCCTATTATTAGGTTATAGGCATGTTAGAGCTGGGAAACCAAATGAGAAAAGTTAGTGAATATAGAGAATCAATGGAAAATTATATTATCTCATAAAATGTCCTAGTAACATCCAAAGATTTAAGAATCCAATAAAGGAGGGTTGAAAATATGTTTCAAAGGGCTACAATAAAGTCTAGACCTAGAGTGAAATGTAAGAAAAGTATATTATGGGACTATTACATACTACCACTAACATAATAATTGATTGAGTGATATATGCATGGAGATCTTATCTATGACGTGACCCCTCCTTTTTAAGCAAGTGTCTTGGGTTAGTTTTTGAGGTTGAATAAATTAGATGAGTTTGTTTAATCTGGGTCGTAAGATGGGTTTGTGTTAATGAATCCCAAGAAATAAGGTGTGAGTTCTTATGAACAAATATCAAGTCTCCAAGAATGAGGGGAAAGTCCCATAAATGGTTTTAGCTGCAAGCTAGTCACAACTCTAGCTAGGTAAGTCAAAGTCATAAACTTTATAGATGTGTGTTTTATGTAGTTTAATTGAGGATATATGTGGTAGATAAACATACTTGATGGTGGATAGCTACTGTGAGTGTGTTGGTATGGTTGAGGCAAGTGATCCTCAAGATATGGATAGGTCTAAGAGAGTCCTTCGGAGGAGTTCGCTAGAAATTATTACCTCCTTGATTTGGTCTCCCATGATAAGCCTTTATGCTGTAACATTTGCAAAGCATATTGTTCATTTAACCATGAGCTGGTGCCAACTGTTGCCATGCTGGTCATGCTCCATTCGGGCAGAGTGCCCCCTTGGCCCTTGATCGGGTTTCTTAATGATAATCTCTTAAATACTTAGAGTTACTTATATACTTAAATGGGTATACACAAGTATTATCATTGAATAAATTTGGCTCTAACAAAAATCACATGGGAAAAAAAGTCAAATCTCTCTCTCTCTCTCTCTCTCTCTCTCTCTCTCTCTATATATATATATAAAGCAATGTAGGGGATATTTGGTTGGCTGAAATAGAAATACAATGTATTTGAAATGCTTTAGAGTTATTTGGATGAGTATAAAATAAATGTGGAGAATTTTTTTTTTGTTTAAAGTAAAATGAATATAATGTAAAGTCCATAGATGACCAATAGTGGTGGCAGTCTACGACAGCAATGATGGTGGCCGACAAAGATGACAACCAATGGCAGCAGCCGACGGCGTGGCCAACGATGGTGGAGGCGGGTGGCATGGCCCACAGTATCGGCAATCAACAACAGTGGCGGCCTGCAATGGAGGCAGTGGCAACAGTAAAATTTTAGTGTACATAAAATCACCTAAATCAGATGAATTCTTTATATATAAAAAATATACTAGATTGTGAATTTCAAATACATCAAAAATATATCTTACATTTGATATACTTCAAATTAAAAATTAATATTCTTGAAAACCTTATATCTAAAATATTTTACAGGATCTTCAAACCAAAAAGGGCCTTAGTCCAATTTTAATTGGATTGAATTGGCCAGACCTGCGTTAAAGAAGTCAAGGTAAGAGTAGTAACCTCACCGCAGGTTCAAAAGACCAAAACGTCTGCTACTGTGATAAAAAGTAGTCAATTAAGAGTTTAGTAACCTCACCGCAGACTATACGGACCAAGCTCAGTGGATATCGATTCATGCCTTCCACACCACTCAGTCATCTTCTCCTGTACCTAACCCTACGCCGGCGACGATGTCCACCACCTTCTTCTCAGCCGCGGCCGCACTCTCTTCAGCCGCATCATCATCCCCTCCATCCACTCCGAAATCCAATCCCCACCAAAAGCCTCTTACCTACAAACCTCAATTGCCCCAATTAGCCGCCTCCCTAATCCCCCTCGCCGCCGCTGCATCGATCGCCCTCTCCCCACTGCCGCTTTCGCTCGCCTCCGACTCCCCCTTCCACATATACTACGGCACAGCGGCAAGCGCAGCTAACTATGGCGGATACGGCGGCAACGCGAGCAAACAGGACACAGCAGAGTACATCTACGAAGTTCCCGACGGATGGAAAGAACGTCTTGTCTCCAAAGTCGAGAAGGGAACCAATGGAACTGACAGCGAGTTCTTCAACCCTAGAAAACGCAGCGAGCGCGAGTACCTCACATTTTTATCAGACATCCGCGGTTTAGCTCCCGTCGATGCTGTGCTCAACAACCTCGCGCTCTCCGACGTTGCGCTTCAAGATCAGATCGCTAGCGCGGACAGCGTGCGGTCGGAGGAGCGGCGGGATGGTAATGGGCAGATTTATTATGCATATGAGATTGATGGAGTTGGAAAGCATAGTCTGATCACGGTGACGTGCAAGAGGAATAAACTGTATGCGCATTTTGTGAGTGCTCCGGCGGCGGAGTGGAGCAGGGATGAGATTATGCTTAGGCGGCTTCACGAATCGTTCAAGACCATTGATCCGCAGGCCTCTTCCTCGTCTCCTTCATCTTAGGTTTTTTATTGTCTATCAAAGTTGGTTTTTGATGAATCGAATATAAGTTTTGTGATGTATCGATGAGGATTGTGGCTATTCTAATAACAAATCAGTTATCTTGTTTGTCATTTTTAATTGATAGATTGCAGTATTAGGTTTTACATGTCTTTGTCACTTTGTGTGAAACATAATTTAGGGGCTCTGGTTCTTATTTACAGGCTTCCATAACGCTGCTTATTTCAGGAGGAAAAACACAAGTTATGCTGTTTAGGGTTGAGGACAGCAACACTTGTTAAAGGAAAACATTGGGGACAGGTTAGTTTGTCAAGGTGAATTTTAAAGTTATTTTGGGATAAATATAATATATTTTAAATTTATATTAAATTTATTTTAATACTACTAGGCTATAAAAAATTCATTTAATCAAGCATAATTTTTTATGCAATTTGGAATGGGATACTTCTGAAATTAAATTTAAGTTTATTTGGATTTGGATTTCAAAAAATTTATAGGCAAATATATCTCAACGTGATGAAACTAATGAAATCTATTGACTAAAAATGAGTTCAAATCAAGCATTTGAAGTGTTCTTGAAATTTTTGAGAAATTTATTAAGGATCAAATATTCCTTGGCTTTTTTCATATTTATAGTCAAACAATAATGCATTTCTGGATCCAATGAGTTCAAAGATTATTAAATTTTGAATTCATTAAGATATTTAAATGTTTTAAAAAATATTTATAATAAAATAATCAACACAAATCGCCTGTTAAAGTTTTCTGAAATTTTTGTTAAATTGTTCAAAATGCCATTATCAAAAGTTTATAAATAAACTTTTCACCTTCACATGATGGAGATCCTCACTTGAGATTGGAGAGCTTGTATTTATTAAGAATTCTAAAATTATTTTTCTTAGAAGATGATATTCAAGAAAGGTGGATGAGATATTTTGCTAAACTTTTTAATGAAGAATGTGAAAATATGATTAACTTTAGTGACTTTATCACCCTAAATGAAAATAAAGATTTTTGTTTTTATCGGCATATAAGTAAAACTGAAGTTAGAGAGGCTTCGAAGAAAATGAAGTGTGAAAAAGCTGTTGGACCAAATGATATTCCAATAGAGATGTGGAAATGCTTAGGAGATGAAGGAATTTCTTGGCTTACCAAACTTTTTAATACTATTTTGAAGACTAAAAAGATGTTAGATCAGTGAAGAATGAGTATGTTAATTCCTATTTTTAAGAATAAAAATGTTGCACAGGAGTGAGCAAATTATAGAGGAATTAAGTTAATGTGTCATACTTTAAAACTATGGGGGGAGTTATGGAGTATAGGTTGCGGGATGATACTAATATTTCTCTAAATAAAATTGGATTCATGCCGGGTAGGTCTACTATGGAAGCCATATATTTATTGAGAGGTATGATGGAGAAATATAAAGAGAATAAGAAGGATCTATATATGATATTTATTGATTTTGAGAAAGCATATGATAAAATTCTAAAAGAAGTGATATGGAGAGTTCTTGAAAAGAAATGAGTTAAAAACACTTATATTCAAATCATTAAAGATACGTATGCAGGAGCTATAACTTGTGTTCAAACACAAGGTGGTTTGACCAAGTATTTTCCTATTTCGGTTGGATTACATCAAGGATTAGCCTTAAGTCCATATCTTTTTGCTTTAGTCATGGATGTTCTCACTAGACATTTGCAAGAGGATTTACCTTGGTGTATGCTTTTTTATGATGATATTCTTCTTGTTGATAAAACTAGAGAGGGAGTTGAAGGTAAACTTGAATTAAGGAGGTAAACCTTAGAGTTTAAAGGGTTTCGCTTGAGTAGATCTATAACTAAATATATGGAGTGTAATTTTAGTAGCAATAGACCTAGTGAGGGGATTGTGACTTCGGGCGCAAGATGATGAAATAGATGGGGATATTATCAGCAAAATTCAAGTTGGATGGTTAAAGTGGAGGAATGCATCGGGCTTATTGTGCGATAGAAAAGTCTCCCTCAAACTTAAGGGAAAATTCTATAAGATGGTGGTGAGACCTACAATGCTTTATTGTGCTGAATGTTGGCCATTAAAAGAGAAGCATAATACTAAGTTAAGTGTTGCAGAGATGAAGATGCTTACGTGGATGAGTGGCTTGACCTTTAGAGATAGGATACGAAATGAGCATTTACGCGAAAAGCCCGGAGTAGCTCCAATGGAAGATAAGATTAGAGAGAATCGCCTTAGATGGTTTGGTCACATTAAACGGAGGCATTCTGATGACTCGATTAGGAAGTTGAGGTATTAGATTTGACTTATATTAAGAAAGATTGAGGTAGACCTAAAAAGACTTAATTAGAAAATATTAGAAATAGTATTTTTTTATTCAATTTAAATGAGAATTTAACTTTTAACTGAACACAATGACAAAAAAAAAAAATCATATTTGTCATATAGCCGATCCATATGAGGAGACAAAAGCTCCATGCTGTTATTTTATAATTACACATCGGTCACAAGTAATTCTCGTGATGAGCACGTGTACGAGCACGGGCCGCGCTGCTCCTTATCTAAAACTAGAAAACGAAGATTACCCGCCACACAGCAACTAATTTCGCATCGATGGTAACAGTCTCCACTTCTCTTCTGTTCACCGGACCCAAAACCTTAGCTTTTCAGCACTCAGGTGGTTTCATCCATGCCGATTCCCGGCGATCTATCGCTACAGCGACATCTAGGGTTACGCCGCGCAAGTCCAATTCATCGTTGTCCTTCTTCGCCTCAGCCATGGCGGCTGCGCCACAAGCGCCAGTCGATACCGAGGAGAAGAAAGAGAGCGATAAGTTTATTGAGGAGATGGTCGTACTTCCGACTAACGAATCGTCGGAGAAGCTCCTCTGCATCCGACATACGGTGGGACTGCTACTCTCAATTTGTTCTTTTATTCTCAGTTCCTGATTTCTTAGATAGTTTTTTTAATTTTGCCCCCTTTGTTTTGATAATCACTGTTCATCTGAGTCACTTTTAGGGGCTGTTTGGTAGCACCTAGGTTTTCATTTAAGTTGAATTTCGTAAATGCTCTTGATGCGTCATACAAAATTAGCTTGATCAGGCACGAATCTCGAGGCAAAAACTAGTTGGAGACTTCAAAAATTAAATCCAGGAGCATCCGAACTCCGATTTCAACGAGCTTACAGTCAAACTGAGCGTCTCGGAAATATGAACCCAACAACACCAAGATCGACCCAATCCGAGCCCAAATAAGTCCGAATCAAGAGTTCAAAGCGCTGTCGGAAGGTTCAAACCGCAATTTGAGTTACCAAACGGTCTCCGATTTTGACGAGCTTATACTCGAATCGAACGACTTGACGAGACGAATCCAACGAGCCCAAGATCACTAAATTCCGACATCATTAAGGCCTCCAATTGTCCAACGAACGGTGCACGATCGTAGGATTCAATATCGGCCGTCCATTTGACCACTCCCTATTCGCCCTTGATCTCACACCTATTTACGGACCATGCCACTCCAGAAAATCTATAAATAGAGTCCTCATTCTTCACAAGAGAGTATCTAAGCAAGAGAGAGAAGAAGAGAAGAGAAGGAGGAAGAGAAGGAAGGAGTTCCTCCTCGACAGCTGCCGGACCACCGCCGGACCACCGCAGAACCTTGCCGGACACCGTCGGACCACCGCAGGAATCTCGCCGGACCACCGCCGGGACGCCCCGCAGGAATCTATGTCGGCGACCCACGCGCCGGGCGACGCGCAGTGAAACTCGCCGGGACCACCACAAGGACTGCGCGGACCACCACCGTTAAGACCCGACGTCAGTCCCGTACGCCCTTGCCGCCAAAGACCCGACGGTCGTCAGTTTGAAGGCCCGCACCCGAAGGCCCGGTACGCGTTCGTGCCAAAAGACCCCGACGTCGGTTGCAATGGCCCACACACGAGCCCCTACGTGTCGTGACGGAAAGACCCGACGTCACCTACCTCCAAGGCGCCCGCGGAGTTCAGTTATCGGTTCCCTTTTTACGTCTACGACGAACTTCGACGTCTTTACTTAAGTAATTAATTGTAATCTGTTCCTCCCCTGGAGGTTATCCAGTCTTCCTTTGGAACAAATTCAAAATATAGTCGGAATCATTTTCAAACTGGGGCTAGGCCTCGTGGTTTTTTCCCTTTTAAGGGTTTTTCCACGTAAAAAATCTTGTGTTCTCTGTGTGTGCTATTATACGCCAACAACACAAGACGTCAGAATCAAAATCTCTATCGCCGCCTGTAATTTCGTAAGCCCGCAACAGCTCTAAATTAGGATTTTGCTAAAATGGGGGGGGGGGACTTAAATCCTTAAAATGTTTGGCTAACATTTATGATAAATCTTGTGTAAACTATTTGGCTTATTCAATTCTGAATTTAAACTGGTTTAAGAGATTTGACACTACATTTCTTGAATATATTATAAATACAACAACAGACGTTAAAATAAAATACAACAAAGTTTGGTATATAAAATACGAACATATACAATAAATTTAAGATTAGTTTACTCATTTTAAATTAATTTCATTTAATTATATATATTGTTATTTAGGAAAATAATCTATATTTGTAAGATAATTAATTGTGAAATAGGTTGTAAATCCTTAAGTCCCCCGAAATAGACTATTTAAATCATACATAATCTAATCAACAAATGGATTATTTATTAATTAATAATTTATTAAGTTAATTATCTCATCATTTCTATTTAGATAAATTAATTAAAAATAGTTTAAATTATTTAAATTATTATTTTTTATAACTAATGTATATATATCTATCTTTTTTAACTAAACATTTATATTTATAGAAAATTAAAAAATTTATCAAATTGAAATAAAATTATAATTAGCCTAATCTAATATTTTTATTAATTATTAATTAGTTAATTAATTAAATATAATAATTTTCATTAAAATAGCTTATAAATAATATTAATTTACATAAATTAATGTCTTATTAATTCATAAATATTAATTATTAAGATTAGTTTGCTCTTTTTAAATAATTTTTCTAAATGGGATCCTTTCTTTCCATAGCCTACGCCCTACGATTTGCTTTTCCCATTTATTTCTTCTCTTCAACTCCTTTGTCGCTGTTCGACTTCCCTCCTTGAAGACATTCTCTTCCTGTTGGATCGGAAGTTATGACATTTTGATTGGAAGCAACGATGGGAGCTCGCTCGCTGTGAAGTTAACTTTCTCCCTTTTGTGATCTTCCTCGGCCAAATCCTGTAAATTTGCCAAATCAAAGGATTTCAGAAATCCAGGGTTTACCACGAAAAGGGTTAATTTTTCCTCTACGGCGGCTTTCATTTACCGTGAAATTTGGTTTTGCATTTTAGACCGTTTAGCTGGATTTCTGTCAAATCTGCCTTAAATCCGGCATAAATCCTGCTACAAAATAGCCCCTTAAGGTTTTGAAATGCCGCAAAAAAGTTTTCTTATTTTTGATGTTGTCAATATAGCAACAAGCTTATTGAGCTCATCCATTGAATATAATTTTATAATATTTCATATGAGCTTCATAAAATTTTAATTACATGACTTGATTAAAAAGAGAAGTCTTAAGAGCATAATTATTTTTAAAGGGCGCGTGCTTCATTAGAGAATTTTGGATTAGGCTAGCTAGCAAGTGTAATGAATTGAATCCAAAGAGGTTTTATTTGGTTGCTTGCTTATAGAAAACATATTTTAGAAAATGATTTCATTTCACTAATTTTATGTGGCAAATTAAAATCGTTGAATTTGGCAATTTTGAGAGGGGCTTTATGCAGTTTTCTCGGTGAAGGATTTTTTGAGAAGCTAGATGTTGGAGTATAAAGGGCTGATCATTGAGAGTGATAATGCCAATGTTATCAAGTTCATTCAAGACTCTCTAAAGAAGAACAAGTGGCAAGTTGATAGATGGCCGACTAAGGATTTGTGTTTCCTAAATGATTTCAATAAAGTCGTTTTCCTCTATGCTTATAGAGGTTGTAATAAAGTAGCTAATTGTTGTGCTACTATGGCATTGGAGAGGAGTTTCTTTTTTGATAGTTTTTCCTTTCATAGCATTCCTTCCTTGTTGCTAAATTTACTCAAGGAGGAATGTGATCCGTTTTTTACTTGTAATTAGTTCTTGTTTTGTTTCTAATGCAATTTGATGCACTTTTTCAAAAAAAAAAAAAAAAAGAGAGGGGCTTTATGAAGCTTAAAGTTATTGTTGATTTTTGGCTACTCCCAATTTTTGAATACAAAATTTTCCATGAAAAATTAGCCAAACCCTATGGAAAAATATCTAATTAACTTGAGAATTGAGAAAAGAGAGACGAATTAAATTTTCTCTTGTCTGAGTGCGGCTTGCGCTCGAAGTTCTTCTAATAGGTTGATGGCTTCCCATATGCCTTCTAAATTGGATACTTCCCATTTGTTGGATTTGATGATCGTGTCGTGAGTTGTAATTATCATCCTATGGCTTGGCAATTCAAGCTCTATTTAGAGTACAACCCCAGTATTGTGTGAGGCTGAGAAGAGTGTGTGCCTTCTGGTGGTTAACGAAGTTGTTCTGAGGGCCCATAATATGGAAGGAAGTAGTTATGCCCATTTTTCTTTGGCGCCTTCACATGTTTTCTTGAGGAGGTTGAGTATGAGCTTGTTGGCGGCTTTAACATGTCCGTTAGTTTGAGGATGATGAATAGATGTGAACTTGAGGCCTCTTGGATGTTGCATAATTCTTTGAGGCTTTGATCAGAGAATTATGATTCGTTATCTGTAATGATATCGAAGGGAACTCCATGTCGGCAAATAATCAAACTACAGTGGAAGTTATGCGGGCAAGTGCTTTGGCTTCAAGCCATTTGGTGAAGTAGTTGATCATAACTTAGATGAATCTTCTTTGATCTATTAATGGCGGGAACGGGGTTCATCCGCACATGGCGAGCAACTAGGGACTTGTGATCGAGTGCAGCTTGTAGGAATGTTGCATCTACATTGGAGCAAACTTTTGATATTGTATGCATTTTTTAGAATATTCCTTAGCGTCCTTTCTTAAAGTAGGCCAAAAGTATCCTTTTTTAAGGATCCAGTGGGCAAGAGTGGGTCTGTTGGAGTGGCTTCTGCATTCGCTTGAATAGATTTCAGTAGTAAAGTTTCCTTTTGATCTTCATGTACACATTTGAGATTGAGTGAGGATGTGGACCTCCTGAATAGATGGTTTTTTTGAGTAGCAGGTAGTTGATTGCCTTGACTTTAAATCGACGGGTTCGCCAACCTCGGCATCGATTGATTCATTCTTCAGATACTTGATGTAAGGATACATCCAACTCATTGGACATGGAGCTGAGGGGTCCGCTTCTGCTTGTGCTATTTCTTCTTCCATGATGGCATATATAGAGACTCGTATTCCTGGTTCTCCATCAATATTTCCTTGCTTGGAAAGAAGGTTGATGAGTTGATTCTGGCTTCTGGGAATTTGAGTGGTTTTTAAATACTCAAATTCGCTAATTTTAATTTTGACTTTGAACAAGTATCTAGAGAGCAATTCTTCTGCGACCTCTTATTTTCCATTGATATGGTTCAGCATGTGTTGCGAGTTTGAGTAGACTTCTAGACGAATGATGCCCAACCCTTAAGCAAATCACAATCTCGTGAGTAAAGCTTCATATTCGGTTTGAATGTTGGTGACTTGGAATTTGAAATTGATAGATTGGGCGATGAAAACTCTGGTAGGGCATTTTAGAATAATGTCTACACAATCTCCCTGCTTGCTTGATGCGTCCTCTATGTCCAACGTCTAGCAAGGTTGGGTTGTCGTCTCTAAGGTCGTGCTTTGGTTGGTGCAATCTACGAGAAAGTCGATAAATGGTTGAGCCTTGATAGCTATCCTTAGGGT